TTCTCTCATGGAATTCACAGTGTCTCTATGAGAGAAACATGAGCTGTCCCCTTTTTATTCGATTTACAGCCTAAAAACCCAATGAAGCGTCAGCCAGGAATTGTTCCATCTAGAAGGCAATGAGTTTGAGGCTGTTAATTTCTCTTCATTTCCTAATAACAACAACCTGTTATCTGTTCTCTATCAAAACTCCAATAGCTTACCATTTTCAACAGGATAATGCCAAACATTTTAGAGTTTACAAAATTGAGTACAAATTTATCATTCTGGCTTTATCCACCAATGCTCAGCTATGCAACCCAAAGTCACACATTTTTACAGCTTCACTTGAGCTGGAAATAAATTTTCTTATGTTTCTGTTACGGCACTTCTACATGTCCCTAAATTTTGGTTAAAATTGTGCTTATATTTCCTTTGAGGTCTAGCTCTTAAGAACAAGAAAACTAAAGCAAACCTAATGTCATCCAATCAACTCCAACTTACACACTCTCCCTCAGGTTTCTAAGGATATAAATCTTCACAAGAGATTACCCATTTTTCTCATGTAGAACATCTAGTGGATTGAGCCACTGACTTATCAGCTAGCAGCTCAATGAGTAGCACACGACCCTGGAGGGCTTCTCTTAAGAACAACAGAAATAATAATTTCTTGTCTCAACAGTTACTCTACACCATATGCTTTATCTCAATGAAGACACAAGACAGTCTACTAAGCTAAGCATTATTATTATCATCTCTCTTTTCAATTAGGAAATAGAGGCTTAAGAAAGTTAAGAGTTAGAGACTCAAGGAATTTACTCAGTATCTTGAAAGAAGTAGCAGACCCTGATTGAATACATAGGTTAATATGACAGTGCTTGGTTAATACAGAATAAAACATTATTTTAGTGTGCAGGTACTATTATATCTTTTCAATCTATATGTAGAACACATTATCTGGGAGGCTGTATTTCTCTCTATGCAGAGAAATGTGGCATCAGGATTGGAGGAAAACTCATTAACAATCTTAGTTATACAGATGATACAACCCTGCTTGTTGAAACTGAGGAAGACCTGAAGTGTCTGCTGCAGAAGGTCAAGGACTGCAGCCTTCAATATGGATTGAAGCTCAATATCAAGAACACAATGATTGTCATAACTGGGCCCCGAATGGCAGCATCGTGATGGACAGTGAAGAGATTGAGATTATAAACAGCTTTACTTTGCTTGGCTCCACAATCAACACTCTTGGCACTAGCAGCCAGGAAGTTAAAAGATGTATCATGCTGGGAAAGTCTGCTGTCAGAGACCTCTCCAAAGTACTAAAGAGCAACGATGTCAGTCTGGAGACTAAGGTCTTTGTAATAACTTGCTATGCATCAGAGAGCTGGACAATGACTAGGGATGACAGAAGGAGAATTGATTCCTTTGAGCTGTGGTGTTGGAGGAGAATACTGAATATACCATGGACTGTTAAGAAAACGAACAAATTTGTCCTGGAGAGAATGAAATCAGGCTGGTCCTTGGAGACAAGGATTCTGAAGCTCTGTTTGACATACTTTGGACATGTTGCAAGGAGGGACCAGTCCTTGGAGAAGGATGTCATGCTTGGGAGGGTGGAGGGACAATGCAAGAGAGGGAGAGCCTCGATGAGATATGGATTGATTCTGTGACTGGGGTAGTGGGGGTAGGTGTGTCAGAGACAATAAGATTGGCACAGGATAGAGGGTTTAGGGCTGTTGTACATAGAGGATCTATGAGTTGCAGGGGACTTGATGGCACATAACAGTAACAACAACAGGTATTATTATAAGTTTTAGTCTTCTTTTACAGATAAGAAAACTGAGGCTTAGAAAAGTACAGCAATTTGCCCAAGAATGAAGATCCATGAAGAGACAGAGACTAGAAAAGGAAATAACCAGAGAATGAAAAAAAAGAGGTCTTATAATTTATAAAGTGAACTCTGGCAGTATGGTCTGTAGAGATTTGTGCCGCCCTCCCAAAGGTGTTATCTCCCTGTCAGGATCTACCAGTGGCTCCAGGCGAGAACGACGGGCAACTTATCGTGTCATTTACAGCCTTGGAAACCTACCGGAGGATTAGTTCCAACTCGATGACAGTGAGGTTTTTTTTTACAATTTATAAATGAGGTACATAAAGTTAAAATTCATCAGAGTTTACCTTTATAGGTATACAAAATTAATACTATTCTCCAACAAGTAAAATAAAAATACAAAGAAACAAGAGTAAAAGAGATAGAAATTGGTACTGGAGACTCAACTCTACTATGAATGCTAGAAAATAAGAGAGATGGGAAGAGGTCAGGCTTACAAAGAAACAACATGACAGAGAACGTTAGCTGTCCACCGAGACCAACTCTCTCCTTCTTGGCATATAACTAAACATTTCCCATAAACTTAAAGACGTATGGGCCATAAAAATGGCAGCTCTCAAACGGAATGTTAGTGTGGGGGTAATGTGAGTCAGGCTGGCTGACTCAATAGTACTTTCTCTTCTCTATGGGCTAAAATGGCAATGACCAAAAGGATCTCAGAAACCAGGTATTGAAAATGGCAACATCCCTAACGGCCTGGTTCCTGAATGCCTATATGACACAGCTCCCTGCTGACCCAAATATCTTCTTTACATTATTACACAGGAAACAAACTTACCTTGTGGTTAAGTTATTCCATTTGGGGCTCTAAATGTTGTAACTACATCATCCCTGGTTGGTGCAAATGGTTCATGTAATTGACTACTTGTTAACTGAAAAGTTTGAGATTTCCACCCACGCAGATGTGCTTAGGAAGAATGGCCTGGTAACCTACTTCTAAAGACCTTTCACTACGGGGCACAGTTCTACTCTGACATGGCATCATCGTGAAAGAAATTATTTTTTTCTTCTTCTCTGCACTTTTTAAAATTTTATATACAAAATTCATATACATTGTGTATCATTCATGTATATTGTGTTTCACACATTCCTACATTCACACTGTGTTTCAAATTATCACTCGTGTACATTGTAGTTAATAAAACTAATCACCATTGATCTATGGCCACTATTACCCCATCTTTTCGGTCCCCATTAGTTCTTTCCTAATTCCTTCACACACACCCCCTCCTTCATGAAGGTCATCATACATGATGAAAGCAAAATGCCATTCAAAAGACAAGAAAGAGAGAAATGTCAACACGGATATCAGAAGAGACTCTGCAACTTGCTCTAGCATGTGAGGTAAAAAGGATAACGAAATGGGACAGAAGATTTAAAAAGTAGCTTAAGAAGACAAAGCAAAATACTATAATTAAATGTGCAAAAACCTTGCAGAGCATGTCTGAGGACCCAAGGAAGGGGCTTGAATATAGGGTTGCAAAATTTGATGGGGGAAGAGAAGGATTGGATAAGGAAAGGGGAAACGGTCCAGTGTGAAAAATAATGTATAACAATTCTGTATGTAAACCAGTATAAAATAAAATTAAAAAAACAAACCAAAAAAACCCTCTGGAGTTAGAAAGCCAAAATGGAAGAACGTAGTAGGAATTCGTCAAGTTTAAAAAACTGAAGAAAAAATTCATGTTCTGAATTATACTACTGAAGAACTCCCAGCTTCTACTACAGAGTAAGCCATCTCCTTTTGATACATCTCACCCATCTTTTTATGTCTATCTACCTACATAAGTGTCACTGATCCTGTGGCTGTAGACAAAGCAGCCTGATACACGAGATGAACAAGTAAAGAAAGGGGCGGCCTTGCAGCAATGGGACAGAAGAGGCAGAGAGCTGCTTTTTGTTGCTACGTGGGCTTACTAAAGGGGTGTTCCGTACTGTCAATATTGTTGTTGTTGTTAGGTGCCACTGAGTCTAATTAGAGTCACAGCGACTCAGTGTGACAGAGTAGAGCTGCCTACAGGGTTCTCTAGACTGTAATCTTTTCAGGGGTACATCAGTAGGTCTTTGTCCTGTAGTGCCTCAGGTGAGTTCAAACCCCCAACCTCAGTGCAGATGAATGCTTACTTGTTTGCACCATTGGGACCCTTTGTGTTATATATGACTCTGATAAAACTTAACGTTACAAACATACAAGGGAGGAACTGGGAAATGGGGACAGAAGGAAAGGTATGGAATGCAGCAGGCTGGATGCTGAAAGATACAAGGAGCAATATGCTAGGCTGAGAAGGCACAGTGGAAAAGTAAGGAAGGACAGAAAGGAGGTGCAGACTGTTACCCCTAAGCCTTGTTACACTCAGATTTGTGATCTCTCTGTTAGAGGAACCTCAAAATGCCCAAGAAACATTTGTAAGTAAGTATTCATTAAAAAACCTACTAATCAGGGATACCATAATTCAGTCTGACTTGAGTTCTTTGGCTCTCTTAAAACGGAAGCTCTGATGGAACAGTGTAGTCTGTAGCATGCTGCGCTGCTAACCAAAGGCCGAGTATCTCTGGCAGTTTGACTCCAACACCTGCTTCAGTGGATGATGGGCAGTGTCTTCTTGTTAGGAGCTACAACTTTAGGACACCAATGGAGGGTCACTCTGGGTGAGATTCCACTTGAAGACAGTTTGGTTGTGAAGACGGTCTCACATTTGTCCAGAAATATTTACTAGATTCCCATGGAAGAAGAGCTATTTTGGAACATGCTAGCCATCAAAGAATTTCTCTATCTACATTCAAGTTCTCAAAACTAGAAAATGTGTGTGTGTGTGTGTGTGTGTGTGTGTGTGTGTGCAGGAGGTGTGTTTGTTTTAAGAGGAGATTCTGTTTTATACATGCAGGAAAACTTAAATGAGTAGGTAGGTAGGGAAATGGTACAGTGGGAAGCATAAGTAAGCATGTGACAGAAAGGTGGAGGAATGCCAGTTAATGGAAGGAATTTTATCTTGCTGCCTTCTAAGCAAATGTGGAGAAAGATCTGGATGGTTGACCTCAAGTATGGCTACATCTTCACAGTGATTCCAAAACAGAAACCGTAACCATTCCCTAAGTGCACACTTATCATATGCAGCCATGCACCTACCCTTGTAGAAGCATAAACAGGATATGAGGATGGGCACTGATGTATTCCACTGTAGGGCTCCGAGTGCCTATCTGTCTTCTCAGGATGTTGTTAAATATCTGAGTCACATCTTTCTTTCCCTGTGAAAAAAATGAATAATTAATAAATTCTACATCTTGAATGAGTGAACTGTATGGTACGTGAATTCTATCTTACAGCTTTTTTTTCTCTTTATGTCACTCACACACACACACACACACACACACACACACACACACACACACCCCCATACAGAGAAATAGAACCAGCTTCTAAAAAAAAAGACAAAAACCAACAAAAGAACAAAACTTTACTAGATAATTTACTCTAAAACACATAGACTACTAGATAATTTACTTTAAAACACAGATTCAACAAAATAGACACAGCCCTTTGATTAACTGGTAGTCTGTTTCTCACAGAGATAAATAAAAGATCAAAAAAGGACCTAAGAGTAGTGAATGTAACAGACTTGAATTTTTTTCTCCATGTTTTAGCTGACACAAATCCAGTGCAGGTCCAGTGGAAGAAAGATTCTAGCTCCTGTTGGTCAGATAGGAAGCAACTGTTGTTGTCACATGCTATCGAGTCAAATATGATTAATATCAATCCACTAAACAACAGGAAAATGTTTTAGGCACAATAGTCTTTTATCATAATAAAACCAGGTGCTGTGAGGTCTAATTTAGACTTACGACAAATCCTATGTTTCAGAGTATTGGCTGTGAGTTTTCAGTTCCAAGGTGTCTCTGAGGAGATTCAAACTATCAACCTTTATTGTTTGTAACTAGATTGTTAACTGTTGGTGCCACCCAGGGTCTTTTCATCACAATAATAATAAGAGCTAGAAACAATCATTCTATCCAGTATTGGGCGTAGTTAAATGCATTATGGTAGAAATAAGAAAACAGAATATTAAAAAGTTGCAATAATTTAATATAAAAAAATAGGTACACATATCCACTGCTTTTACTTTACTTCAGGGAGAGAAATAAAGAGAGGGGGTAGAATATGACAACTTTAATTTTTAGAATATACTTAAAAATCACCAAGTTGTGCCAAGAAATCTGGAGAACAACCACTTGGCCAACTGACTGGAAGAGATCTATATTTGTTCCTATTCCAAAGAAAGGTGACCCAACTGAGTGTGGAAACTACAGACCAGTGTCATTGATTTCACATGCAAGCAAGATCCTACTGAAGATTATCCAAAAACAATTAGAACAGCACATCAGCAGAGAACTTTCGGAAGTCCAGGCTGGGTTTAGAAGGGGTCGTAGTACTAGGGATATTGTTGCTGATGTTAGATGTATCTTGGCTGAAAGCAGAGAATACCAGAAGAATGTCTATCTGTGTTTCATTGATTAGGCAAAGGCATTTGACTGTGTGGATCATAACAAACTGTGGCTGACTCTGAGAATGGGAATCCCAGAACATTTAATTGTGCTAATGCGAAACCTATACTTGGACCAAGAGGCAGTAGTCAGAACAGAGCAAGGTAACACTGCATGGCTCAAAATTGGGACGGGTGTACGCCAGGGATGCATCCTGTCTCCATACCTTTTCAACATGTATGCAGAGCAGATTATCTGAGAAGCTGGGCTCTATGAGGAGAATTGTGGCATCAGGATTGGTGGAAGATCTATTAACAATCTGCGTTATGCAGATGACACAACCCTGCTTGCTGAAACTGAGGAGGACCTCATGCACTTGCTGCGAAGGGTCAAGGACTGCAGCCTTCAGTATGGACTGAGGCTCAATGTCAAGAAGACAAAGATTCTCGCCACTGGACCAATTGGCAGTGTCAGGATGGATGACGAAGAGATTGAGAGTGTTCACAGCTTCAGTTTGCTCGGCTCCACAGTCAACACTCTTGGCACCAGCAGTCAGGAAATCAAAAAGCGTATCGCGATGGGAAAGTCTGCTGTTAGGGACCTCTCAAAGGTACTCAGGAGCAACAGTGTCTCTCTGGAGACTAGGGTGCGCCTGATACAGGCCATGGTCTTTGCAATCGCTTGTTATGCATCAGAGTTGGACAATGACTAGGGAGGACAGAAGGAGAGTGGATGCTTTTGAGCTGTGGTGCTGGAGAAGGGTACTGAATGTACCATGGACTGCCAGGAAAACAAACAGATTCATCTTGGAGAGGATTAAACCAAGCTACTCCTTGGAGGCAAGGATTCTGGGGCTTCGTCTGACATACTTTGGACATGTTGCCAGGAGGGACGGGTCCTTGGAGAGGGACATCATCCTTGGGAGGTTTGAGGGACAGCGCAGGAGGGGAAGACCCTCTATGAGATGGATCGATTCAGTGACTGGGGTAATCGGGATGGGTGTGTCAGAGGCAGTGTGGTTGGTGCAGGATAGAGCAGGGTTTAGGGCTGTTGTGCATAAGGTCGCTATGAGTCGGAAACGACTCGACGGCACATAACAACAACAACAACACTTAAAAATCAGTGCTGCTGTTTTCAGTCAAATTCAATCCACACCACTCCGTATACAACAGATCTAAACCTTACATGTCCTGCACCAGCCTCACCATCTCTGCTATGCTCACGCTGTGTCATCTCATCTTGTAGAAGGTCTTCCTCTTATTTTCTGACCTTTATAAGCATGGTATCTTTTTCCAGAGTCTGGTCTCTCCTGACAACAAGCCCAAAGGATGAAAATCTAGCCACTGTTGCTCTAAAAAGCCCTCTGGCTGCACTTATTGCAGCATAGAGCTGTTTGTATTTTGGCAGTTCCTGGTATATTCAGTACTCTTGGCTGCAATTCAAAGGCATTTCTTATTCTTCCATCTTCCTTATTCACTGTCCAGCCTTCATATGCATATGAGGCAAATAGAAATACCCTAACTTGGATCAGGTGCACTTTAGTCTTTAAACTGACATCCTTGTTCTTTTGTTTTTGTAGGGGTTTTTGTTCTTTAGCACCTTACAGAGACCCTTGACACATCCACCCAATGTGGTAAGACTGGATTTGACTGCCAGCTTTCATTAGGTATTGATTGTGGATCCAAGTAAAAGGAAATTCTTAACAACTTCAGTCTTTTTCCCATCTATTACGAGGTTGTTTATTGGTCCAGTTGTGAGGATTTTTGCTTGTTGATACTGAGGTGTAATTCATGATGAAGGGCGACTTCAGTATGTGCTTCAAATCCTCTTCACTTTTAGAAAGCAAGGCTGAGTCATCTGCAGAACACAGGAGGTTGATGAGTCTTCCTCCAATCCTGATGCCACGTTCTTCATACAGTCCAGCTTCTCTAATTATCTCTAATTATGTGTTCAGCATCCAAACTGAAGAGGTATGGTGGTAATGCTAATTGCTTGCAGGATAGTTAAATGTCAGTTTTAATTTTTACAATATATAAAAAGACTGCCTTGATGGCACATTGTTATTACTATGAATAGGTCTGATGAGAAGATACAACCATAATTCACACTTTGCTGATGTTAAACCATGCAGAATCCCCCTGGTCTTTTGAGATGACTGCTTACTGGCTCACGTCCTGACTGCACACAAGCACAGTTAAGTGCTGTGAAATTCCCACTCTTCTCAATGATATCCAAAATTCATTAAGACCCACACAGTGGAATGAAACGTCTTTGTATAGTCTCACAGACTTAAAATAAAAAAGATGTTCATATTACATAAATTTTAATTTAATGTGAAAGTATATGTTTACTTCTTAAAATAGGCATAGCTACAAATGCATTTGAAATGAAGGAAATAATCTTTTATTCAAACCTCCTAGGATTCAACAGTGTAATACTGCAAAATAAGTATCAAACTTCATTGAAATGTCACAAGAGCATGCTTTTCATACTTCCCAGTTAAATACCACAAGAACATTTCCATACGCATTCCAGTAAACAAAAGAGACAAAGTGTGACAGAACTCTGTCCAACTTATACACAGAGGGAAACATTCTTCTAGTTCATTAGCAAAAGTGTTCAAAGACAGGGGAAGCCCCCTGTGGATAAGGAAACCAAGATCTGCTACCAGGCACAGCTTCCCAAAACAGAGGAAAGAATGAGGATGAAAAGTATCAGGAAAAATGGAAACAGGTAGAAGATGGTGAATGATGTCTCTACATCACATGTTATCTTCACTGATAGTATTCATCACTCTAAGTGCTGTTCTGGTGGCCTAGGGGGAAGAAGAGGCTCTGTAATCCCTAAGGCACGCAGTTCAAATCCACAAGCTGCTTTGTGGGAGAAGGATGGGCAATCTCCTCCTGTGTGATTTACTGCTTCTGAAAACCCACTGGAGAGTCAGCTATGGGTCGGTCCCAATTCAGTGGCACACAACAACAAACATCACATTAAAGATGACTAGATTAAATCGTAACTATTTCAAGACTAGTCTTCTAGAGTCCTTGGGCTATAAGATCTCAAGATGACTAGATTAAATCTTAACTATTTCAAGACTAGTCTTCTAGAGTCCTTGGGCTATAAGATCTCAAATTGCAAAAAAAAAAAAAGATCTCAAATTGCCCTACAAATAACATAATGATAAAGAAATAATAAATAACCAAGATAAATTGTTTTTAAAATGCCTGAAATGAACCAGCAACTCTAAGAATATACATAACTGATCAAATCTCAAACATGAAGAAGTTTTTGTGTTGTTGTTAAGTTGAATTAGCACCTGTTTGGTGTTAGAGGACACACTTATAAAGAGGTCATCTGCAAGATGAGATGCTTACCAGTTGTTTGCTGGATGAACAATGACATAGATAAAGTATTGTTGTTGTTGTTATGTGCTGTCGAGTTGTTTGCGACTCATAGCGACCCTATGTACAGCAGCCCTAAACCCTGTTCTATCCTGTGCCAATCGCATTGCCTCTGACACCCCCATCCCAATTACCCCAGTCACTGAATCAATCCATCTCATAAAGGGTCTTCCCCTCTTGCGCCGTCCCTCCAACCTCCCAAGCATGATGTCCCTCTCCAAGGACCTGTCCCTCCTGGCAACATGCCCAAAGTATGTCAGATGAAGCCTCAGAATCCTTGCCTCTAAGGAGTAGCTTGGTTTAACCCTCTCCAGGATGAATCTGTTTGTTTTCTTGGCAGCCCATGGTACATTCAATACTCTTCTCCAGCAGCACAGCTCAAAGGCATCAATTATCCTTCTGTCCTCCCTAGTCA